CTCAGGCCTTGCTACAACGCCTGGAGGAGAAGGTCTCCTTGATGGAGGACCTCCAGGACGGTCCCGGGTTCGAGGAGCCCAGCATCCCAAGAAGGGACCTGAATGAAGCCTTGGAGGAAGAGCAGGAGGAGGAAGAGGATGAAGGCAACACCGACTTCAGGGCCCATCATCCTCGATTCTCTTCCTCGCCCGGCCGGAGCTCCCTCCTGAAGAGGATGATGGGCCTCCAGGCCTCCAAAAGCCTGAGGGAGTCGGGGTGCTTCGGGAGGAGGATGGACCGGATCGGGTCCGTCAGCGGGTTAGGGTGCAAAGGTGAGCACCGGGCGGTCATGGGGTTCGTAGTTCTCCAAAGGCAGATTCATGGGGTTTGTAGTTCTCCAAAGGCAGATTCATGGGGTTTGTAGTTCTCCAAGGGTGGAACCATAGAGTTTGTAGTTCTCCAAGGGTGGACTCATGAGGTTTGTAGTTCTCCAAGGGCAGAACCATGGGGGTTATAGTTCTCCAATGGCGGGATCATGGGGTTTGTAGTTCTCCAAGGGTGTAACTATGGAGTTTCTGTTCTCTAAGAATGGAATTATGGGGTTTGTTGTTCTCTAAGGGTGGAACTATGGGGTTTGTCGTTTTCTCAGGGTGGAGTTATGGGGTTTGTAGTTCTCTAAGAGTGGAACTATGGGGTTTGTCATTCTCTAAGGGTGGAACTATAGGGTTTGTCGTTTTCTCAGGGTGGAATGATGAGGTTTGTAGTTCTCTAAGGGTGGAATTATGGGGTTTGTCGTTTTCTCAGGGTGGAATTATGGGGTTTGTAGTTCTTTAAGAGTGGAACTATGGGGTTTGTTGTTCTCTAAGGGTGGAACTATGGGGTTTGTCGTTTTCTCAGGGTGGAACTATGGGTTTTGTAGTTCCCTAAGGATGGAACTATTGAATTTGTAGTTCTCTAAGAGCGGAACTATGGGGTTTGTCGTTCTCTAAGGATAGAACTATGGGGTTTGTTGTTCTCTAAGGATAGAACTATGGGGTTTGAAGTTCTCTGAGTGGAATGATGGGGTTTGTAGTTCTCTAAGGGTGGAACTATGGGTTTTGTAGTTCCCTAAGGATGGGACTATGGGGTTTGTAGTTTTCTGAGTGGA